AACAGTCGTCATCCAATTTCTACGCAGTCGTGAGAGATGCGCTGGACCTAAGTCGATGGGAGCGAATCATTTACTCCAGAACTAATCCCGATGCTAACCACGATCCTCAGCCATAAAAACCTCCTTACTTCAGGCATGAACCTTAACATAACAATTACGAAGTCAACAATCGACAATATATTACAAGCTTTACGTAATCCGATATTTCAAATTGTAATTTCGATACGACCCAACTTGTATAACGGTTTCCAAGTTTGTGTTACTTTATGGGCTTCTTTATTACATCAGAACGTTCACCTTTGCTTATTTTAGATCCTCTGCTGAAAATAACGATTTAATATTTACAAATTCCTGTTTTCCTGTTGTCTTAAACACTTAAATATTATGTTACCGTAAAGTAAGATAATATCTTGGCCACTACTTTAGCACATAAAATTATTTGATTCTTTTCTTTTAATCACTTCGGCATTAAAACCTTAACCAAATTCTACCTTTGTCCAGAAATAAGTTTGGAATGTCTGACCTTTATATACTTTTTATTTCGATTTATTTTTTGATAGTTACAGTTACACACGTATCCCAAATTTTTTTTGATTCTCAGCTTTATGTTTACACATGTATACCCTCGTATATCTACTTATAATAGCTAATGTCTTTAAAAATATATAAAACTGCGACACAATTGGATATATGGAACATGCGATAGTTAATTATACGGTGCAATTAAACTCTTACGTAAACTTAATATCCGTTCGTCCTCGCTCCGTCCCATATCTTATTCGATACAACGCTTATGATAAGATTGGATGAAGATCAGATCCAATGTCAATGACATAAAGCTATTTCAAAACTCATATCTACCAATTTGTAACCTTCAGATATGAACACTGCTATCAGTAACCACCAATTGACATTAGGAACACCTCAGCATTGTTATAAGAGACATCTTTTCGAAGGCTAGTCGTAGGGAACAGGTTAAATTTATAGTACAAATAAAGTATACTGTAGCAGCATAAACGCCTGAAGAAAACAAATGTTTAATTTTATTACTTCACATATTGCTATGCAAAAGCTATAGGCGCAAATAAAAAGCAGATTGAAAAGATAACGTAATTTTTTAGTTTACTATAATTATACCTTCAGGACTTGTTTTATGATGCATTGACTATTAATTAACTTTTGAAATCTTGATTTGTTCTTAAACATAAAACTTGAGGATTGTTAGAAAACATCCATCAATACATAACATCAATGTTCAAGAATCTACTAATACACAGTCGTTGTCTAAGCCACGTGATTGTCTACTATAAAAAACAAAAGATCAAAGGTCAGCTTACGCCTATCTCAACATAAACGTGAGTTAAATAATTAACATGCATTAAAAGACAAACACTTACGTTATTTGAACGTAAGCTTTGAATAATCAAAGCGTTTTATAAAATGGTTTTTTACTTGATAACACTACAAGAAACATACTGAAAGTAAGTTATCATTTAATAATATTAATTAACAAATACCTATATTAGAACTACCGTTGATAAGCAAAAATGATTAAGGATCGAGTATTGATTTGTGCCGGAACGTAATCTGAGCTGACACGCTAAAGTTATATAGGTTAAAGCAGACATAATCTGCTAAAACTAATTGGCTTAACACACCTACCTCAAAGTTACTAGCACATTCTATTTTGTTTTAATCCTGATTAATTGTATTCACCTACGAAATACGTTTAATTTAGTTAACCTGTGCTTGCGTCACGTCGTAATGTCGCGCAATATGTCGAACATAAACAAATTATGAAAAACATTTTTCTTTAACTGTGAGTCTAGAACAAATATTTGAGACAATCGCCATCATATCTTCATCGTCTTTGTATAATTCGAGCAGTGTATTATCAAGTACCTAGTCCAAAAAATATCATACTAATGTTACTAATATTATAAATGTGATCGCGTGGATGTATCGATGGGAGGATAGATGTTAGAAGCTATCTTCAAAAAGGTTGTATAGAACCTTGAAATTTGGCATTGATGTAGAACATAGTCTAAAAGAATACGTAGGCTAATAAATAAGTTATTTTTAATTCAGCACGTACGGAGTAGCGGGCGACAGCTAGTTTAATTATAAGATTGCAAAAGAGGAAGCGGTCACCTGAATTAGCCGAAATAGCGAAGCAATTGTAGATGCGTTACTTACATTTATTCTTTGGAGGAGGGGACGCACAGAAAGCAAATATTTCCCCTTCATTTGCGTTCTATACTCCGTCAAATCACCTTTCCTCCTTTCCTAGTGGAAAAAGAGTAGGAAGGGAAATAGGACTATAATTAGGCTTGCAACACGCACGTCCTTAGACGAAACGCAGAGTTACGTTTTCTGTGTGGTCTGGTATGGCACCGGCTGAGCTGGCTCATTTTTGCAACAGATATTGTTGTTGCTGGCGCCTTCTACCATGAAAAAAGTGATTAAAATATAATGTAAATATTACTGCAAAAATACAGTCAGACATTGTTTTGTTAAACATTGTTTTAACCCTTTGACCGCCGGTAATTTATATTATGGACGTCATCGTTGTTATACAAAGGTATGTTTTACCAATAAATCACCGAAAATACTTTCAGTGTAAGTACTTTCTTATCTACAATATTTATTGGTAATGTTTGAATTGCAGGTCAAAGAGCGATTTACAAAAACAAAATTCATTTGAAAAATTATTCGTATGTATACAGCGCCCTCTCGAAGCTACTGATTTCAATCTATTTTTGAATGATGTGAGGCTGGGTGCCGTTGTGACTTGGCCCCATGACGTGCGTCGACTTCTCCGTCCTGGCTAATCGGTGTGCCGCCGGAGCCAGCTTGTCTGCGCCGCGATTCTCCATAGTGCTGCTGCCGGATTATTATATTATTTGTCAATATCGCATTTCAGAGGCCTAATGTATAAAAAGGTTGACATGTGTTTCTGTTAAAATGTATTTGAAACACTGTCTAATATTTTATTGTAAGGTCCGTAATGTTTACTGTAAACTTTTATTGATACTCATTCCTTTAATATAAAGGCCAAGCTGTTCAGAGTTCAACATATCTTATTACAGTTCAAACGGTTTATTTTATAATAAACAATTTTGTGTTAAAGTTTCATGATGTTCAGGTTGTTCTAAGGACGCCAGAGATGGTTTGCATCATAAAAAAAAGTGTTTTTTATTTAATTAAAATTTTCTTTGTTGTTATTTTGATTTTTAGTACTTTAGTATCGGAATCCCTGACTCTTTTAGGTAATATAGCAACTTCCGATCGAGGCTAGTCCCTACCAAGAGCAAGGCAAAGAGTTTTAATTTAGGCTAAACCTCTTTGGATAATTCTTCTGTAATTAATTACATTACACAAGGTTAACCTTTCCAGACAAACAATGACAACCCAATCACTAAAATATCATATTTTTTAATGTTTTGTTACGCATAATTCAGCCATTGTAAAATGTATTTAATTTCTATACTATCAGAGTAAAATTTGCATCTTTCTTTTATTCACTGTAATACTATCATTTCCCAATTAACAAACAATGAAAAAATTAAGGTTAAAAGTCAATGTAGAATACAGGAATAAATAAATCACACAGAAAATTTAAGGTGCATTAAAGTGAAAATGTTTTTTTTTTACAATGTTATTCTGTCCGTAGAGTTTCTTGCGTACCATATTGTAAAAATATTTGCAACAGTCTTTAGGACAAGACTAGCTTATAATAAAATTCAATATATCACAAAGGAGTTTCTATCATGTAAAATTTAAAGATTAGCTTCAATTTTAATATCTTATATCATCAGCTCACTCACTATACATCCCCACTGAGGGGCACGGAACCTACCCTATATTACGGGTAACTAGGCCATAATCAAGCACGCTGGCCCAATGCGGGTTGGTTGACTTCACACATATCTTTGAATTTCTTCTCAGATATGTGCAGGTTGCATCACGATGTTTTCTTTCACCGTAAGAACGTCGGATACATACATATGTATATTGAAAATAGAAAAACACATTAGTACATGGCGGGATTCGAACCTAGGACCTGCAGATTGCAAGTCAAGTGCTTAAACCCCTGAGCCACCGACGCTCTTAATATCTTACTAATATTATAAATGCGAATGTTTGGATAGATGGATATTTATTAGAAGGTACGTTTAGAACGGCTGCATGGATCTCGTCGAAATTTGGCATACATGTAGAAAGGAAGAACACTAATATTTTTTTTTAATTCCGCTGACAGACTTGTTACAGCTAGTTTAATCCGTAATTAGATATATTTAGTAACGGTTCCAACAAAACTTGTTGTTAAATTAAAAAACGATTACAACAAAACTGTACCTTTGTGACGCACTTCAGAAGAATTCGAGTCAAATGACAGTCTAATTAGTCAAATCATATTTATTGGCTTACATACAATACCACGTGAAAACATACCAACGAAATTATTAAAATAGCAGACATCCAAAATTGCAAAAAAATTGAAATACGTATTATCATCTCACTTTTTATTATTATTATAAATGAGAATGTTTGAACGGATGGATGTTTGTTAGAAGATATATCCAGAACGGCTGCATGGACACGCTGAAAATTGGCATAGATGTAGAACATAGTCTGGAACAACACATAGGCTACTATTATAATTAAGGTTTTTTTTTATTTGCGCGAACGGAGTAGCCGGCGATAGCTAGTTACATATTGATCATGAGTATATAATGAAACGAAAAATTGTACCCCTTTTTTAAAATATTTCGCCAACGATCAAAATTGAAAGACACAGTCAAAGTTAATGTGGAAAGAATGAGAAGAAGTACACAAAACTATGTTTTTTTTTACCTTTATACAGCATTTCGACCAATGACCACTGGTATCATTAGTTACTTGAACGAATTATGAAAATGAGTAATTTGAAACGAATTAAAACGTTAACGATCGCTTCGCCTTAATAACCTAAAGTAAACAACTCGCATAATATATAAAAAGAATAGTTATGCAAACAGCATATCGTATTACAGTAAAGCACGGGTCGGCAGAACGCGGAGGTGGTTGTCCCTTGATGTCCGAACATTTAAAGGTAATTAAAAAAATATCTCCATTTTTTTTGTATCGAAAAAGTACTCAGAATTTTTTTTCTTAAACGAGAAATCGATATTAATTTTAAAGATTTTAATGGAAAGTACTAGAATATTGGACATAAAATCACGGGATACTGAACCTTATTTTTTTTAATAATAGGTTTATTTGAAACAAAACAAAATTACATTATTCTTTAACTTTAATTTTATTTAATAATTTTTGCAGAATATTGTAAATAATTTATTAGAAATTGTCGATATTAAAGCTTACTTTTTATTTAGGCTTATAAGTAACAAAGGACCAAACTTACTTATTCAAGGTCAAATAGAATTATCGATTTTTCCAAACGACACAACACAAAGAATAACCGTGTCTATATAACTATACACTACAGTCAATTTTCACTTGTATTTCATTGTTTTTTTCTCTAACACACGTAAAAAGTTTTAAAAACTAACAACATCCAAGCTCTAAGCATAACATATTGTCTTTTCAGTAGGATGACGGTAGTAGAAGATATACCGACGGACCCCAGTACGTCAACACGGCTGATTATCTACCCATTAGTACTGGTGGCCACAGTACTCTGGATTCTATATAGATGGCAAACACAATCCAAGCTGTATAAACTAGGCAATAAGTTGCCCGGACCTTCCACAGTACCACTATTTGGCAATGCTTTATTGGCGTTAGGGAAGAAACCCGATGGTATTTTTATAATTTTATTTTTTATCTATACTTAAATTCGTGAAAAGAAATTGTTCAAAGAATTTGACAAAGTTAATGTGAAGAAAAGTGCAAATATATTTTTTATTGAAATAAAATAAAACATCTCTATGATTATGTATTATGGTCGGACTTCAATCAAAGGGCGACCACTAATTACAATAAATCTTATTAATATTATAAATGCGATGGTTTGGATGGATGGATGGAAGGATGTTTGTTCGAAAGTATCTCTTGAACGACTCAACGAATCTTGATAAAATTTAGCACATATTTAGAAAATAGTCTGGAAGAACTATTAACTTTTTTTTTTAAATACGGGCGAACAGATTCACTTGCCACAACTAGGAAACAATGAAAATACGGGATTAGCAGACTGGTTGACAATCACAGTACTTCTCCAACTTTTTAGGACGCTGCTGCCCGTCCTCAGGTTATATGGACGCAGTCTAACGACAATTATAACCGAATCATATAAAAATATACTAATGATGTATATAAAAAATCCAAAAATTACTGTCCATTTATTAAATTTTAAAATATTTTACATTAATAGTTCACCCAAAAATAGTTTCTAATTTGATTAACATTGACAACTTTTTAAATAATGACCCATCCACAGAGTTGGTTACTTTGGCATTGGACTACGTTGAAAAGTACGGGACGGTGGTCCGAGGATGGCTCGGCTCACAGCTGGTTGTTTTTCTCTGCGATGCCGACGACGCTGAGGTCATATTAAACAGCCAGGAACACATCGACAAGGCGTCGGAGTACAGATTCTTCAAGCCTTGGCTTGGTGAAGGACTCTTAATAAGTTCAGGTAAGCAAATCACATCTTAATCAATCACAGTGGTAGAGACCGCAGCTATATTTGTTGCCGAAAAGTTAGTTAGTAAATAATAAAATCCAAAATCGTGGACTTTCTAAGTATTATTAACGACTGTGGTGTCTTATCCTTTTCCAATATGGAAGGTAAAAAAAGTGGAAGCGAATCCAATGTACAACTTTCGGTATACGAATTAAAAAAATTGTTTGATTCGACAAAGGATGAGACGCTTAAGTAAAATATTCTGTGCGTATTCTCCTCCGTCAAATATATTAAACAACGCATCTGCAATTGAGAATGTCTATGGGCAGCGCGCTCGCTTGTTTGCCACCTTATAATATAAAAAACACAAATTTTATTTTTAAAAAATAAGTTATTTTCTAGGAGAAAAATGGCGGTCACATCGTAAAATGATTGCACCAACATTTCACATAAACATATTGAAATCCTTCATCAGCGTGTTCAATCAGAACAGCAAGAACGTGGTGGACAAAATGAAAAGCGAAACAGGAAAAGTATTTGACGTACACGACTACATGAGCGGAGTAACGGTTGATATTTTACTTGGTAAGCATCCAATCCCTTCCTTATCTTCATCATCAGTTTACTATACATCCTCACTGAGGGCCTCTGAGCCTACCCTAAGTTAGGGGTGAAAAGGCCAAAGTCAACCACGCTGGCCCATATATTTTATTGAGAGGGTCATAGTAGAAAGATCTTTGATGAAACATAAGTGTAATTTTTTTTATAATTTACATTTCAAACTAATTGCACAATTTTACTATTGTAGAAATATAAATGTAAAATGCTAATAGCCGTATTTGCCGAAAAACAACATAGTTACTTCAATTAATATTAATCAGGTTATAGGGTAAACCGGTAGTTATTCAAAACTCACGGTCTTGCATATACAATTGAATATTATTAACTTATAACCTCTGTCTATGTATCTATGTATGGATGTTAATTTGTTATCTCTAATACAATAATATAGACTAACTATTATATAATACATCACACGCGATGATTTGATCCATCCAAGTGTGGGACTTTGAAAGACACGCAGGACACAAAAATGAGAAAATAATTATCTACATGGTAACGCTTTGTGAAGTTAGGAAGCAAGCAACAAAATTAAAATCTTTTATTTCATTTAAGTTTTGCCAAAATTACCATAGATACTGTTATTACAGAGACTGCTATGGGTATCACAAAAGAAACACAAGACGAATCTGGATTTGATTACGCCATGGCTGTTATGAAGTAGGTTTACATTATTTAAATATAATTTTACACATTTTACCAAACTCTCCGTATGTTATATAAGTTGCTAATTTTTATCGAATTCTAGAGCCTTTCCAAAACAATTTAGTACATCACTTTTGAGCTTAGTTCAAGAAAAAGTGTTATAATGTTCTATGGCAAATTCATACAATTTTTTAATATAATCATGAAATAATTACTTTCAGAATGTGTGACATCATTCATCAGAGACATTATAAATTCTGGATGCGTTTCGACGCCATATTTAAATTTACGAAATTCTTCGAAAAACAAAAACAGCTGTTAAATATTATTCACGGTTTAACGAACAAGGTAAACATTTGTTTATAGATGAATATTAAAAAGTTATATTAAAGTAAAAAGTTTGATGTAATTATTTTTTTAAATCGCAGGTCATTAAAAACAAAAAGGATAAATATATAGAAAATAAAGCTAAAGGTATAATTCCACCTACACTCGAAGAGATTACACAAAACAAAGTAACAAGTGACTCAGGATTAGCAAATGCTAAAACACTAGGAGACACCGTTTTCAAAGGATATAGAGATGATTTAGACGACAATGATGACAATGACGTGGGTCAGTATTAAATAGCTTGGACTAATATTATAAATGTTAATGTTTAGATGGATGGATGGATATTTGTTTGAAGGTATGGAGATACGGCTTCAATGTCGATGAAAGTTGATACAGAGATGGAGCATAGTCATGAAGAACCCATACTTATTTAGTTTTTTTCACAGGTGAGAAGAAACGTTTAGCCTTCTTAGATCTGATGATTGAATCAGCTCAAAATGGTACCAATGATATAACGGACTTTGAAATCAAAGAGGAGGTGGATACGATCATGTTTGAGGTATGTATCTTAATTATAACTTGTTATCTTTAAGAATTCTAATTTTATATCAATACTTAAATTAGCAATTAAATTTGCATTAAGAAATATAATTTACTCACAATAATCATCTAACAATACTTATGTGATCTACATCTTGCAGGAAGTTTTAAGTTTTAGTTAGCAAAATTTTACATTTATACCTAAATTCATACATGGCTTACGTTCAATAATTTTATATTAATCCCTGTTAAATACAATACAGGATGAATTCTTCTTCTTCTAGTGCCTCTTCAGTCTTGAAGGTTGGCCACTAACTTGGAATATTTGGTTCTGTCATGTGCAAGGCCAAACAGTTTCTCCGCTGACCTGATCCCCGTCCACTCCCTAACATTATGTAGCCAAGACTTTTTCCTACGTCCAGCGCGTCTCTTGCCTTCCATCTTGCCCATCATTGTCAGCTGAAGTAACGTGTAACTGTCATGCCGCAGTACATGACCTAAGTATTCCACTTTACAAGAATACAAGGTACTCGTATTAATTACAGGGCCACGACACGACTGCTGCGGGCTCTAGTTTCGTATTGTGTCTCCTTGGAGTGCACCAGAAAATTCAGGAGAGAGTCTACAATGAGCTGTACGAAATATTTGGCGACTCGGATCGACCAGCGACCTTCGAAGACACGCTGCAAATGAAATATCTGGAACGCGTCATTTTCGAATCTCTACGGATGTATCCACCTGTACCGATTATCGCTAGAAAATTAAAGAGGGACGTTAAAATAGGTAACACCAGTATTTTTGTTTCAATCGATAATCAAATGCCTCAGTATTACATAATTTTGCAATGGCAATTTTAGGCATTATTAGTTAGAATCTTTTGGCGCGAATGGCGCGCTTTCGTTACCAAGTCAATTGTCAGATTGATTAGTGAGGGGACATAAGCGTTGATATTTTAATAAGGCTAGTGTTGCGCCGATGCACCGGCTCAGTGTTGGATTTTCTTCCTAACAGTTTAAGCATAAAAAATTGGAAACATATTTTATTGTCTTCATTACAATATACTTTCTATAGGATATATTACTTACTCTTAATGAAGTTTACTGATTTTTCTCAAACTATAGTACTTTTCGTGGAAAGAAATAAGTAGATGTAACTTGTGATATACCAATGCCAAGATTAAAAGTCTAAGTAACCTATAATATGTGTGATTACTAGCTTGCCATGACACAATGACACAAATGCGTTTTTATATCCTATATTTCAGCTACAAACAACTACCTTCTGCCCGCTGGTGCAACAGTTGTCATCGGTACTTACAAAATCCATCGCAACCCCAAATACTATAAGAAGCCGGATGTTTTCGATCCTGATAACTTCTTACCAGAAAATACCCAGAACAGGCACTACTATAGCTACATACCATTCAGTGCTGGACCGAGAAGTTGCGTTGGTAAGTTATTTAAATTGTATTAGCAACAATAACATACTTCCCGAATAGAATGCATCGACTGATGAAATGCGACGACCTCACAGAAGATAGGTATGAAGTAAAAATTTCTAACACGGAAAAGAAACATTTTTCTGCAATAAAATAGGCAGTGGTCATCTAATCGGGTGACCTGCTAGCTCGTTAACCACTTTTTAATACTACATATTGCCAATTAGGGCAGGTATAAACAGATACCTGACTTACAATTTTGTCACATTTCATGCGTGTCACAACACCTAATGACTTTTAGGAACCTCTCTAAAAACCACACCCTGTGTATCTTTATTTCTTTGTTTGTGTTTTACAACAGTGTTCTAACAAAATCTTCACCGGATGCATGTCAACGTAGTGTTTTGTTTTCATTCTTTGTTAATAGAATCGTTTAACAGAGAATGGTTAATTAAGTTGAAACAATTTAAAATAATACGCCTATTAATTACAATGATACGCATCCATTAGATTCCCTTTACTATCGCTTTCGTTTTATTTACATAGAAAAATAATTCTTTACGAACTGGCCATTGCTATCTTGATTCACATCTTACGTGATACGCATCAAAAGTTTAACCGATAAAGTACCCAAGAATTCACGCCAACCGCGTCGGCCCCAGACAATTATATAGACACGCGTTCCACGACAGCAAAACTAAAATATATAAGAAATAGCTGACTATATTATAATCACGTTTTTTTATTCAAACTTGATAAACATGTTTTTCGTAATTTTTTTGAGCCCATACAGAGTACGGTGACCCATAGCAATTAAATATACCCTAAAATATTTTTTTTACTTTTCAGGTCGTAAGTACGCCATTTTGAAACTGAAAATACTACTTTCAACTATATTAAGAAACTATAAAATGGTTTCTGACATCACTGAAGATCAATACAGGCTCCAAGCTGACATTATATTGAAACGTACCGACGGATTTAGGGTACAGATCGAGCCGCGGCAGAGAGTACCATTCATAGGATAGTAACATTCCTTATTAAATTTAACAATTATTACCAGTACATCAAATAATCATTATATAAATTGTGCTAACATTTGCTTCATATACATATTAATGTAGTATATGGTATTACTTTAGTACTTTAAATGTTTATTAAATTACAATTTATTATTTATAAAACATGATTAAACAATGTCATATTGGTGAAGTAAGGTTTGAGACGTACTGTATATTATTGTAAGTTTTTTTATCATCAAAAATATTATTAAATATGCTAATTGTATGTTAAAATAATAAAAAAAAACATAAACGATTGTGTATTACAACTTTATATCCTTTATGGAATTGAAAACTCTTATCTAGCAGGGTGAAAATAAGCAAATTCATCGGTTATCTATATTTGAGTATAGTCTGACCAGAAACATAGCATCCCTCTCCACAATCAACTTTGATATTGCAATTATTATGTTATTCCAAATGAAATCCAGACTATTTAAGACTTATTCTAATTTCTTTACTTATGTTTTTTTTCTCTGCGGCTACGTTTAATAAACGATTAAAATAAAGCATATTGTTAACTCGGCGACGCATTTATGTTTTAAATGAAATTGCTGTTGCCATTACAAGAAAATTATTGCTTAGGTTTTCCGCAACATGGCGAGTTCTTCTATTTTTCTGGACACGCTATAATATATTTTGAAAGCTTGTATATTTCTAGAGGCATTTAAAAGTTTTTTTCATGTAAAGCTTATCTTTTAGGAAAGCAAATCTTTGGAGTAATCTTTTAAAAAATTTTGTATACTCACGGGTAAGCCAAGTACCTCAGGTTGTTCAGAAATCCGATACAGTTTGGATACTACTGCTTTGTTATTTATGGTAGACCATGTCCTGGTTTATTATACTTTTAAAGGTTTTTGATTTAAAATTCAAAAAAATAATCAAGTTCTTGGAAAAATTAGCAATTTTGAATTTCAAAATTATTCAAATTTAATTTTCAATGAAGGGCCACAGCTATTAAACCTAAAGAATATCTTATCAACCGGTCAACAGGATATCAAATTATCTTTTAGTTAAAAAAAACTTGTTTTCTTCCAACCATAAATATTTGAGATTTTTTTTTCAATCTACAATACCTTATTTTTTGTTTAACTATATCATTCAAACTTTAACTATAGACCGGCCAAGTTCTTTGAACATCAATAATGGCAGAATTATATAAATATATTCAAGTACTTAAAACATTTAAATAAATTATTAAAAATTCGCGACCTTGTAGGTTTCAAAATGTTACACGCGTATTTAAGGAATTAAATAAGTGTATAATTAATTTCAATTTCCAATAATCCAATGAACTAAAATGTTAAATTATAGATGTTTGAATTTTATTAACGCTTAACAGATAGCAAATAATCATAATAGAACTTTAGCTATTTTATTTTGTAAGGGTTTATAAGTAACGTTGACCATTTATTTGTCTCATACTTTAAAGAAATTTTAAATCAATTATTAGTAATGATTTGTTTTACATTTATTTACTCTAGCGGGTGAAATACCTATAACAATCTATAAGTTAAGTAAATATTTGGTGATAAATTAGTAGAATGAAATAGTTGAAGCACTTTCAGTCATCTACTTACATGTAGCGAACGTAAAGGTGGAACGGATTAACTTATTTGAGGGGTTTCTCTATTAATTTTCGGTTCATTAGCTGCAACGAATTTTACAAAGTAGGTTAGTGAAAAATACGAGAATATTGTTATATTATATCCAGAGTTCGTAAAAATATTCTTACGTCTCGAATTCTTTAATTGTTTCTGGCTGGAAATATAACGCTATATTACCAGCCAGAAACAATGATCTTTTTCTTTTCAGTTCCTTTTTTAAAAACCTGTTAAACTTCCAAAATGCTCCAGAATGTTTCGATCGTTCATTACGATAAGACATCTTTCATTGCCTGATTATAATCAGGCGCTGTAACGTAAACTTTAAAGTGATCTGAATGTATGTTTATTATCACGGCAATACGTATTTATGAACGTGTGTGTTCGATTTCAAAGGGGAAAGCCGGCTACATATATCTCGCTAAAATTTGGCATAGATGTAGAACATATTAAGTTTTAATTCCGGGCGGAGGGAGTCGGAGATAACAGCTGGTCACTGGTATTTTAGCTTCGATCATCTTAATAAAATTTTAGCACAAATACTGTGGAATTAAAACAAATAATAAAGACGATAACGTGGGAACAGCTTGCTTACAATGTGACTGATCGATCGACATTTCAAAACAACAAGTTCAATGTCACCTACAAATTATCTGGTAGAATTTTAAATACTCTAATGACCGAAATTGCAACGGGTTTTGAATTGACTAATTTCGAAAAAAGTGAGATCATTTTAACATAGTTGATAATGACGATCGGTCCTTGACCTCGGAATTGCAAAAAAAAAACAAAAAAATCATTAACTGTTACAATTTGAATATTGGAGCAAGTGAAGGTTTCAACATGTGCAAAACATTATTATAACTTCAGATTGTTTTATGGCAGAGATTTTGACAAGTAACTTTTACTTAACCTTATTAGTAACTACTAACTAACTTTAACAGTGGTAGAGCCCGCTTTAACATCTTCGCACGAATTAGCCCGGCTCGCCCGGTGAAATACCACGACCACACAGAAGACAGGCGTGAAGTGGAAACAATTCCGCGTTTCGTCTGATGAGTGTGTGTCCCGGAGGCCAAAATTAGTCCTCTTTCCCTTCCCATCCTTTTTCTTATAAGGAAAGGATGGGAAGTGGAAGTGGACTTTATGGATGAGAGGATGCATGGAAAGGGAAAATATTTTCTTTCTGTGCATCCTCTCCTTCGTCGATTAAAGGTAGGCAACGCATATGCAATTGCGTATGTCTATGGGCAACGGTCACTTCGCTATTTCAGCGATTTCAGGTGGCCGCTCGCTCGTTTGCCACCTTGTGATATATAAAAAAAAAACTAGTTGTCGCCTCCAACTCCTTACTGGTAGAATTAAAAAAAAACTTAAATAGTAGCCTATGTATTATTTCAGACTATTTTCTACATGTATTCCAAATTTCATCAAGATCCCTTGAGTCGTTTCGGAGATACCTAATAACAAACATCATTCCATCCGATCATCTAAACTTTCGCATTTATAATATAAGTAAGAAGTAAGATTATTCTATTAGTGAAATAATTTTCCACGAAAACATGCAGAAACACGGTGTTATGTGACACCGATATTAACAGTGACAATGCAAAATAATAATAGAGTTAATGTCATTGTTATAAAACACGTGCATTTGCGATTTGTTATTGACATAAATATAAACGAGAAAGTAGCTACTTCTATACAGTATAAAGTCTATTAATGTTTCTTTCTGTTCTTCTACAATAGTTTAACAAATCTTGAAATACACCACAGATTATAAATTACGTAACAAATCTATACTAATATTATAAAGCGAATGAGTTTGTTTAAACGCGCTACTCTCAGGAACTACTGATCCGATTTGAAAAATTCATTTTTTGTTAAATAGTCTATTTATAGAAGAAGGGTTTAGGCTTTATAACATTACGCTGCGACCAATAGTTTTTTTTTATTCCACGCGGACGGAGTCGCGGGCGATAGCTAGTTAGAAAGAATACTCATGATAATAGCATATTGCATAAATCAATTCACTCAAAGGAAATACAACAATTCTAAGTTACTAAGCTTATAGTATTAAATATATAAAGTTTTTAAAATCTTCTTTAGTGTAATGACTAATCTTATTTTCTGTCTTCGAATATTCCTATACGTAGATTTTTTTTTGCAATTGTTGGTATATGAAAAATCAGTTATCAATATATTACAGTTTTACCCAGACGGAGTCACGGACAGTAACTAGTTGGATGGTAGATAAACAGATATAAACGTGTATATAAATCTGTATAAACAAACTTGCAACTAAGTAAAATGATACGTTATCATCCTTGTAAATAAAAACGAAGAACCTTTATGACTGTAATCAGACTTACCTACATTGTTTAAACAAATAATTCCTTTAATTTCCTTAAAAACCATGTGTATATTTCCGTGCTTTTAGAATCGTGGAGTTTTGCATACGAAATGCTTTTTTCAAAAATGATAAGCTATCATGACACTTTAATTTGGAAAGACGAGAAACAAATTGCGTTTTTTTTTTAAAAACGAAAGTTGTTTTTTGCTACGCATATATTTTGCGGTCAGTGTTACTTTTTTCACGGCGTACCCTGCACGGTACCCACCGAAAGCAGTTACACAAAAAATAATACTTAGAGAAGTAAATTAGGTGTTTTATTAATTGTAAAATATAAGTAATTGTGTAATAAACATAATTAAATAACGAATATATTTAAACGGTGTGCCTCAGTGTGCCTCAATTTCACGGAACTGGTTTTTTTGCAGTGTACTCAAACAGTGGCCATTTGCAGTGTTACAAAAACAGGAATATAGTTCGAATTTGGTGTCTGCCTGAAAGCTTCTATGAATGTGATACATGCGCAACATTAACTCGCGGATGCAACAAGATACAATCATGCTAATGTTTTAAAATTTAAAAATATTAAATTTAAAAAAGATGCATTTATTAAGATAAAATATAAAAATGAAAAAAAAACAGCAATAACATGAATATTTTATTAAAGATATGCTGCTAATATTAAAATCTTGATTAAACGTATACAATTATTATTAACAAACGTATTACGAAGTAAATTAAATCATTATTGGCATGTAGAGCGAGGGATATTTTGGCCGGTAGTAAAGAGATTCAAATTCAATGCGGTGACAGAAACAGTACGGGCAAGACGTGCGCGAAAACCAATTTATGTCATTCCAAATTAAAATGCGAACATTTTAAAATAAATATCCTTATTAATACTTTTAATTAAGATTAATTAAAATGAGCGTTTCGAGCTTATGAAGTGCAAATTAAGAAAAACTGGACTTGTTAAGTGTTAAATAATTAAGTAATATGGATGAAGCATTCGCTCACCTCGAAGGTACGGAGACCAGACACAGCAAGAAGGAACTCCTGCCTCCTGATGGAGGTTGGGGCTATCTTGTTTGCATCGGCGTAGGATTTACTTTTGTAAGTATTTTTAAACTGCACACATCTTACCTTTTATCAAACCTTCTTCATACGGTTACTTATAAGCAACTTGTTTTTTTGTATAAAGGAGATACCTTTTGTTCCCGTTGTCTCTGTCGAAACGCATGTAACAATATATCAACCTGGGAGTGTTGATACATTGTTTTTTGCTATTAGAAAAAGTAGAGGCAAGAACATGTATTACAGCAGTGAAAAATCTCACGCTTAGATTATAAACCATAACTGAATATCTTATCATATTTTGAATTTTTGACTTCAGCTATCGATGTCATGACAAACTAGTCGTTATTCCGTTCACAGTTTTTAGTTTGACAATTGAATTTCACAATCTTATGATGACGTATATGTGAACCAATAATCTTACTAATATTATAAATGCGAATGTTTATATGAACGGCTGAATGGATCTTGATAAAATTTGGCATCCATATAGAACACAGTCTGGAAGAGCACATAGGCTTGTTATGTTTTTTTTTAATTCCGCGCGGATGAAATCGCGGGCAACAGCTAGTAAATAAATAAATCTGTTACTATCCGCACAAAATAAGTGTGAGCTCAATACTAAGCTTATATTATAAAGATACCTTTGTTTTGGTTTAAACCATATTTATTATCTTAATGAACAGTGCTTTCTTTTTCTGAGGATTGTAAATCAAAGTTCTTTAAATGTTTTTATCGCTTAATATAACGTAAATGATGACGTTAAAAATACTGGTTATAAGTTGCGGTTTTCATTTTTTTCGTCTACGACATATTTTTTTAAAGTAAGCAATTAAAAAGTAATTTGTTTTATTGATTAAATATTTATATAAAAGACAGTTTGAATAAGGGTTATTTGGTACAAGTTGTTGTCCATGACTCCGTCCGTTCGGAATTAAAAAAGAACTAATTTAGTAGTTTACATCTTCTTCCAGACTGTGTTCTACATCTAAGCCAAATTACACCGAGATTCGTTCAGCAGTTCTGGATATTCTTTGTAACAAACATCCATACATCCAAACATTCACATTTATAATGTTTAAGGTATTATTATGTTAGTAATATCTAAGTAAATATATAAAGTTGTTGACGATAGATTAGTTTCAAATCTACTTAATCTCACAAACTTTATTAGCCTTGAAAGTTTTGTCTTTACGATATCAAATATCAATTTTATTTTTAGACATGCAAGAATTAATAGCTACCTAATACTAGTATAAGATATTTGATATCTCTAAATAAATTGTTCCGAATTTATTTTCGATCTTACACTCAGCCTATCAGAGAGATATCAGCTCTTTTAATTCACTGCTGGTCGTAAGCTTTTCCTAATACTTCCTACTGTAAGTAAACCATAGCAAGGAAGTATCTGCAGATGTCACAATGTTATAAGTCCATTTATAAGATAGGCGATTAGCTTGTTAACCAGAGAATATTCTAAAATTATTTTTCTAATACCGACAAAATTTCGTTATCGACGAACCAATGTTCTGCTTATAAATTGCCAGGGGAGAGGTCGCACAGAAAAAGGATTTCCCTGTCCAATATTTTCCCGCGTCGATTTCAAATTATAGTGAAAGCAGGAATCTTAACCACCATTTGCTCGTTTTGCATTATGTTAAATATTTAATTAAGGAAAAAATGTAAAGCATATTATGAAGTATGCTACTCTTAAATCTATACTAATATTATTAAATGCAAAGATTTGATTGTTTGTTTGTTTGCATTGAATAGGCTCCGAAACTACTGAATCGATTTGAAAATTTATTTCTATGTTGGAAAACTACACTAGCGAATGTTAGGGTATTTTTATTATTTTTTTTTAATTCGCGCGGAAGATTTTGCCGTCATCGGCTAGTGTATCTATAAACCGGATAACAAACATTTGTTTATTCAATTTTTAACCTTGGCATATGTGGTCAACAAGACAAAATTGTTTTAAGTAGATCGTCTAACGTGTTTTCATAATTTTCCTATTTCTTTGTTTAAGTTCCATGTTATGTATTACGGTACATGACCTGATTTTGACTTGCCGGTGTGTAACATGTTTGTTCAACGAACAAAAACAACGAAACTTCATACTAGTAATATATATTTAATATGTTTATTAATTGACAATCATAATGTAATTAAATCACGCTACCTTTATTAAGAGAGTAATAGAGTAAAGTTGAAAATTATAGGTTGCATCAACTTCGAACTGGCCAGTAATGATTCAATATGGTAGAAAAATATGGCGACGGTCGCATTTTATTGATTATCAGACATTACCTTTCCGTGTTTAGACGATTTGTATTAATAGGTTATCTAGTTGTCGCCCGCGACGCCGTCAGCACGGAATTATGAAAAAATGAGTAAATAGCCTATGTGTTCTTCCAGACTGTGCTCTACATCTATGCCAAATTTCAGCGACATCTGCTTAGCGGTTCTGGAGATACCTCCTAACAAACATTCATACATCTGAACATTCGTATTTATAATGTTAGTAAGATGTAATTTTTGTTTATTATTTTCGATTATTCTTGGTTGTAGAACAATTTTAAATGTCTTTTAAAATACGGAAATAGTCTTCATCGTCTCATCAACGATATTTCTGAATATAAATTTACATTTATTACGACATCAAATCAAATGCATGCATTATAATGCATATTTAAATAGCATTCGTACTAATATTATTCCAGAACTTGCACAGTAACAAGTATTCTATTCTAACCTTCAAGCAACTAGATTAGTTTCTTATAAAACCACAAAAGATTAACTTCGCGGCATAATACTGATTCACCGTTAGTTTATGAGATCTGGCAATATCAAACATATCGTCATCCCAGTCATTATCTTTGACAAAAGAGAGATAACAGTATATTTTAAACAGGGATTTTGGTCTCGGAAACCCACGGTCAGTCGGTTCACTACATCAGCCAGTTAATTACATTTTTAGAGTAAAATATTGTATCAGATTGATATTACGACATATAAATTCCTGATAAGTGATCACATCGCATATTTATTAGATTGCTAGCTGTCGCCCGCAACTCTGTCTGTGCGGAATTATAAAATAAATACTTAAATAGTAGACTATATGTTATTCCAGACTATGTTCTATATCTATGCCAAATTTCATTACGGTCGAAAAATATAAGTTCCTAATTCACTTTAGTAATAATTGACCTGAAAAAGCAGTAATATTTATAAGTAACCTTATTAGTTGCTTAAGTCCTTATAATATGTTAATTTATTTCGCACAAGGATATCCTCGAATAAATACAAGTAGATTGGAAAAGATTAAGCCATATTTTTATTATTTTATCTCACGGAAATACTTCTAAATATAAATGAAAGGTCTTTCTTTGCGTGTATATATGTACGTATCAAGAGCGATAGTGGTCAGCTCTATTTCTGGTAGCGCAAGCTGAATTATTATATACTAGCTGTCGCCAGCAACTCCGTCCGCGCAGAATTGGAAAAAGAGTAATTATTTGGCATCTCTGGTGGTATGTCCAGAAGAGCAACTTGAGCGCCTAGATTACCCTAAACTGGTGCCCATCGGCAGCTATAACTGGAGCGAGTAAATCCAAAGTTCAAAAGCGAGTAAATCTAAAGTCATGTATCAAAGCAAAAAGTAAGCGCGGTTTTTTCATATGGAAATCTTGTATCCCCTGGCTATCACTGTTGGCGGCCATCGTGGGATTTTATTCGGTGCAAACCCGACAAAACTTGTCTGTCCCCAGAGAGATAAGTATGCGTTAAACATTCCAAGATAAAAAGGTAGATTTCTATTGGGTCAAGTATAATAATCGCTTCAAGACATGGTTAGAAATTTTTTCTTAAGTATTTTTATCTATCGGTATATATCTTCTAATCGTGTAATAAAAAGTTTTGTCTGTCTTTCTGTCCGCACGTCGCATTTGTTCCGGATAATCTCCATAACGGTTAAGCCGATTTTGACAGGAATTTCACTGGAATTGGACTGGACTAAAAATTGCTGGTTTTCGAAAAAATTACGTTCATTTGTTCAAATTGCCTGTAATATATAATTTAATAAAATATTGTATTGATTTAAGTGTGTTTGCCTCATTAAGGTTTGTCATAAACTTTTATTATGCGTTCGTTTCGGCTTTGTAGATAACATTTATTTTTGCATAAATGGGAGTGTGCCTATTTAATGTGTACCAGCTATTTGAATCCGTTAATTTTTTATAACCGGTTTCATTATTGTTTCACAATATTATACAAGAATTTAATATAAAAGCAACAAGCGAGATAGCTTTTTCTCGTAGTTTTAAAATAGTATACGTATAAAAATTGAAGTTTGTTAAAAAGACCAAAAAATAAATGTTGTATCCCACGCAATTTTTATTGAACAGGACACTTTAATACACTGACCAGGAAAATAGAAAACCTACCATTAGGGCGCCTCAATCGCTTTCTTCACTACATTACCTTCGATAAATACGAGAAGATATTATTAAGTAAATAAATATAAAATAATTTGGAACATTTCCTTGCCTTTTGCCACCAACTTAATAACTAAATCCCTGTTTGAAAATTTTCAACATTAAATGAGTTGTATGTTTTTATTTTGATCTTCTCAGATTATCGTCCATTTATTTTTAATTTTATTTTGTCCTGTCACTGGCATGTTGTAAAATGTAATACGATATCACCATTACGTTTATTAAATGAAATATACCAACATTAAATATGAATAAATTACGATTTAATTTCTTTATTTTAAGCCAAATGATAAAAAATTATTGCAAACTCTTGTTTAATCCAGGATAAAGGATCTTTTTAAATATGTGTGCTGCAAATTTCTAAAGATAGAATCTCAGTTTGTGGAGACCCTATTACGTAATAAATTCTATAATATGTATTTTTGTTACATGTATGTTACATGTGTTCTCGGGTTAACTATCCTTTTACAATATTTAAAGTACTCTTTTAACCTCTAGCTTACAATACAATATTTTTGGTAATGTTTAAATTTAAGGTCAAAGAGCGATTTACCAAAAAAAATTGTCACTGAAAAATTCTTCATAAAAATGCAGAGCTTTCTCTATAAGCACTGATTTTAATCCATTTTTGTGTTAATCCATTCCATGTTAAAAAAAAAATTGATGGATTTGGCGTCGTTGAACAGCTCAGTGCTCCCGCTGCTCGTTTGCCCCCTTCTGTTATAAAAAAAGAAAAACTCGTTTTCAAAATTATTATCAATTAAAATATATAGTCTTTACTAATTTCTCTAGTGTACCAATTCTATTCAATGTATCGATATATTTCGATGGACACCCTTAAATAAAATTATGAAAAAAAGTAATTTTGGTAATCAAATATCTAATTAATAATTTTGTAGCATCAAAGGTTAAAGCAAAAATTATAACTTAATCGCTTGTCTTCACCGCTCATTTGCGTCCTTCTCTTGTAAAAAATACATTTTTATTATACCCATTAATTATATTAACATGGGATAATTGTCAACTAATATTCTTATAAGCATATGGGTTGAAATTTTTGCTACTTTTGAATATATAATTACCAACATTACTTTCTGAGTTCCATCCATATCCAATTAAATTAAGCTAACAAACATTTTTGCTGCTAAAGTAACCTCGTATTCATGCGTTATTTTATCACTTAATCTTTATTTTAATAAGAATTAAAATTGTAACTGGTTTGTTCAGCAAATTGCGTAATTAAGCCCTTCTCAAATATGACAAGATTTCTGTTGATAATGTAACCTAGAAAATATTTAAACTAAAAAAATGTGGCATTTTGGATGAAGTGATATTTCAAATGATACATTTTTCTTTCTCTGTTTTATTCAAATAGAATAAGAGAGACGACAATATATGTCAGTACAATGTCAGAGCAACCGTAATGGTAGTAATGTTTAATTACTTAACAATCTTAAAGATTACTTATTCTTAAGTAAATATAATAAAATAACAAAGCATTTTTACGTTGATTTACACTCTCCAAACTTGCACGAAAAGATATTGCCGTCTCTTTTTTTCCAAAGAAAATAAACGGGAAAACAATATGAATTTTCACGTGTGTTTCGGCTATGGAAAATACTGTGGTTTTCACAGACACCCATGTAATTTTTCAGTAATAATTTTAAACATAGCAGAAGTTGAAAGATAAAGGAATCACGGCAACGAAAAACGAATTAAGAGAAACAGTATGTTATAAAGATAAATATTTGTTAAACAATTTATTATTTTTAATACTTCTTATTGAGCACTTCAATTCGTCGCGACACTATTCCGACTCTACTTTGTTAAAAGAATGTTGATTCCAGGAAGACGATAGTAATGTCATTTAAATAATGTTTCCTAATGATAAACGAATTAACGATCAGACAAAATAAAACAGGATTTAGTTATTGTTATGTAAGGTTATGTTAAGTGCCAATTTTTTTTTTAAATAAAAACTGATGTTTCGTTTTGTCCTGACGCGTGCTAAACCGGTTGTGTCACGTGCTATTCAGGTTGTAACTTAAACAAAAAAAAAAATTCTTGAATAAATTAGCAATGAATATAATAACCATGGGAACTTAGAATTATGCTACATGACAAACAAATAAACCTTGATAAATAAAACTTTGGGAAATATCTTTCATCTCATGGTATGGCTGAGGTAAAAGGACTTTATTGGTGAAAATAAAACTGACTCTTTTAAGTCCTTACCCAAGCTCAGGAGTTTTGGAATTATTTTAAATAGATTATTTCGATGATTTTGAAATTAAGTGCCCGCTTTTTTGAGTGAGAAATTTCCATTCCTCGCTCTTTGTACTTTATTTTTTATTTATTGTAAAATTCCTTGTAAGATTAAATCGTGGTTTTCAGATCACAATTGTATGTTTATACAGACTAGATTTGAAATAATTGATTTAAAAAAAAACACGTTGTACGGGTAAGTTGACTACACGCCATATAAATTTATTTATAATAAAATTATCATTATTCATGTAGGTAACATGCTACGGAGAATATAGCGATAATAAACTCCTAAACTGGAAAATTCACACGGACGTTAAGTCATATAATGAATATACATAATATAGCAGATGTCACAAAAAGATAAGAAATTTGCCACGCGCCGTGATATAATTTAAAATATATTTATTCATAAATAAATATATATTGCGTCTCCTAACATTACATTAATATTTATATAATCATTAATTCAATAAAATAATTTTATGAATTAATAAATTATATTTCATACTTTGCCTTAAAAATGTAAAGCGGGGAACGACTTTTACATTGACATTACCAGATTACGCATATCGTTATTAAATATATAATTAATATGTAAAGATATTCGTATAAACCTTTTCCAATCCCCAAAGATATTTTACAGGTTTTAAAAAATGACCTTAACACAAAATTATTGATTTCATAAACAGATTTAAAGGACGAAAACATTTAAAAAATCTGTACTTATATTACGATATTTAACATTCTCCTTCTTATTCACCATTTATGAAAATAAATATATGAAAAAAAAATAGAAAATACAAGACCAAGAATTGATGAATATAACTTACCAGGTAAATGGAAAAGTATATCCAATAAGGACATACTCTTCTCTTTATGGTACACTATTCTCTCATTATTTATGTATCTAACCGTCCTGGTTACATTCGCTCCGAAGCGATTCCATAACGAACTTCAAAAATGTATAGAACTGACAATAACTTTGGATAAGTCACTTGATGGTCGTACGTCAGTTTCATACAATGAACTTTGTCCAACCCTGTGTATGTATATAAATATTAACGATTCCTGTAACTCATTCTCTTTGGGATATCAATCATTGCTTCAACACACTTGTTCCTTTAGGATATTATGATTAGTCTTTGTAATTCTCGCTATGTCTTCAAACTACTCGCGTAGGGTTAGCGCGACAGGTTTTCGCCTGTTCGTCGATTATATGGAAATTATCTGTCTCGGAACCATAGAATTAATGTGACTTTGACTTAATTTTTTCTGAGCAAAGACGTCAAATATCTTACCGGTTCATGCACATTCCTATTTGTAACGTAATATAGATATTGCCGTTCACTTTTGAAAAGCAGAAATGATCACATTATTGAAATTACCGGAAGTATTTGAGCCATTGAATGCACAGCAGCTTCTATCTTTGTTTTGCTTACACTGCAGGTTTTTGCATGACGCAGGGGATTGCGTCAGATTTTCATAAACGCCAAAAAAAGATAAAATAATATCAGATATTATTGTAAACTTTATTTATTTATTAAGAAAAACCAACAGCATACATATAAAATAGTAATACGACAAAATTCACCTATTTTAAATATAATATGTTTGTCAATTATAGGTATGCACAAATTATTTTAGACGATTTTTTTTTATTTTTACATTTTTTCAATATATAATTTTTATAATTTAGATACTTTTAAAAGATCTTAAGCTATCATTATATGTCGATGTCCAAGTTGTTTATGACGTTATATTACTTTATCGTTATGTATAGTGAAAAATTAATACTCTACTAAGATTATGAATAAGCAATGATTGTTTTCAGATGCTGGGATTCGGTTCATCAAATGCTTTCGGAATTTTATTCAATGATTTCTTTATAGAACAAGACGGCGCCAGCGGCCTTCCTTTGGTTATAGGAGTGTATAATGGAGCTCTATCTATATCAGGTATGATTTTAATGCAAATTTGTTATTACAAACTGTTAGGAAGAAAATCCGAAAATGTAGCAGTGTATTGACCCAACACTAACTTTACTAAATTGTTGACGTTTGTGTCTCCTTAAAATTCATTCTGATACTAGACTTTGAAACGAAAGCACGTTATTCCCGCCAAATGATTCTAACTAAAAATATCTAAAAAAATATAGTTATTTTAATCACATCTACAGATTCCTTGTGGACTTTAATATGTCGTAATTAAAATTACACGTTGTACGAATATTTTAAACATACGAATTTTGTTAAAAATGGATAAACAAATGACTAATCATCTTTTTAAATATGAGCCTTTAAAATTTTGCTTATACTAAATAACTTCTAGTTCTATTGCTGTAAAAAGGTTTGATTTGGTAAAAATATTTGTGTAGATTCAGCAATAAGTATTTGACAGTCTAATATGAATAATTTGTTACGAAACAGTTGTTTCATGGAGGTCGTTAACTTAACAGAAATCCGTACTTCTAATGTTTCACCGCTGGTCGCTATGAGAAATTTTAATCTCGTATTACCAACGAAGCTAAAATCGACTCAAGTTTCTGTCCCCAATTAACAATGAATCTATTAGCTCAATACAAATCGGTTAATAGGCAGATATCATTGGATACAGGGACCGATTGTCGTTCAGGGCCTAAGCCTAAACAGTTTGCATCGCTCGACAATTAATTCATATTGATTTGACCGATATTGTAATGAAATAAAGCACTATGTTCATTTCCGTAAATAAAAATTTGTCCTATATTTTTATAAACCTCGTGTAAACGTACTGTAGATCAATAAACTTATATCAAAACAAAATGTGCTTCGGGTCGCATAATTTTATGGCACGCAGATAGTTTCTGATTCAAATCTAAAAAAGAATGTGAAAGACATTACTCGTTTTTGCAAATGAATAAATCAATAAACTTTGCAATATCGAATGAATATAGCGATTGCTCAATACATCGCTGCGGTAAAGATCGTGGTTGACCAATATTATAATGCCTTGTTTAACCACGTGTCGTGATTTTATGTAGCTCCTAATATTACACATCATAAATAAAAGTAAACTGCAATAATATGCATATACATTGCTCTCCACCGGTTTGTCTTCTGATAGCTTAACAGTTCAGTGGACTGGCACCAAATAGGTCGACTGATTCATTGAATCGGTCCTTTGATTGTTCGATCTACGGTCGATTTACTGATTGAATCTTAAACTTTCTTTTACCTTTGTAGGTTTCCTGAGCGGCATTGCGTTGAAAAAATATTCCTTTCGACAAGTTGGTTTACTCGGCGCTGGGTTGTTCATATTGGGCGATGTTCTTACCATATTTGTTACCAGAACATATCAATTGGTCTTCACTTTTGGCGTAATAAGAGGTAATAAACTGATTGCTAGTATAAGTATAAGTGTACACCTATCTACTACTACTAACCTAACGATGTTGCCTTCATCTTCATCATTCTTATGGATACATTAATATTTTAATATGTATATTGCAGGGGCAGGATTTGGTGTGATGATTCCAGTTAGTTTTACGGCTTTCAATTGCTACTTCACTAAAAAACGGACAGCAATGATGAGTGCCAATCAAACAATGAGCAGTCTCGCTTCTATTACATTCCCAATTCTAGTCACATTCCTCCTCGATGAGTACGGCTTCAGATGGAGTCTCGCTCTCATAATGGCTGTAGATCTTCATCTGTTATTCGCTATGTTAGTCATGCATCCAGTTGAATGGCACATGATCAAATCCGTGGATGGTCCAAAACCAGGTAAAATACCCTAAAATTGTTTGAATGTAACTAATATTTTATGTTCGGTACATTTCATTTTTGTGTTGTGAATATAACAAATCTACTTCAATATGTGCAAGTTCCTCCTGTCTTATTCATTTACATTTTGTAATATGTTTGCGTAAATAGGATTTTCTACTACAGAAATTAAAATGACATATACAACACCTTACATTTTCTTTTGAAAATATTCCCGATTACTATATGTTTTTTGTACTTGTGCCTAGGCGTAACTGTCGGTAATAATGCTTTCTTGTGATTGTTTCTCTGTTAAATGACGTCTTACTAACACATCATCCAACACCCCAACATTGTGTATAATCTTTCAGACCCATTAAATTGTGATGTCCTCGACGGTAAAACTGTTAAAGTAGAAAACTATGATGAAACAATCGTCAAAATGTTGCCAGGTGATGATGGAGTTGTTGAAATAAAAGCGACGACCCCGACTAGACATGAATCCATTCAAAAGAGCATAATGTAAGTTCCTTTTTGGATAAATCAGACTTCTATATACAGTTACGAAGAAAATCCGCCACTGTACCGGTATATCGGCGCAATACAAGCCTTATTAAAATGTCAACGTTTGTCATTCAATCTGACACTTGACTTGGTAACGAAAGCGCGCCATTCGCGCTAAAGGATTATAAATAATAATGGGTAAAAATACAATGTAGTTTTGATGTCATTATTAATTTATGCAAATGTTCCCTTAGTTTTCGATAAGCATCATAATTAAAAAACGAAATATTTGTTCTGATCACTTCATAATTCTTTCCACAAATGATGCATTTTGTGGTCGTTATTTTATTATTAAAAAAGTTAATGACTACCAACGAAAAAAACTAAATAATTTTTGATTGCTAGCTTTAACTTTAATTGGTTATTAATTTGTAATCATTAACAAAAATATGAAAACAATTAATACTTTAAAAATACGGTTACAATAACAGTAATGTTTTCTATAAGGTCATATGTCAATAAAAGGAAATACGCTAGTGTTTTAAAGTATTATTGGCGAAAGTTTGCTAATGGACATCGACATAACAAGCTTATATTATAAAAAATATACATTTGTTTCAGAAAAATTGTTTACGATAACGTGGAATTAGATTTACTAAGAGATCCGAGATTCGTGAGTACACTGGTCGGTCTGGGATTTGCTTTCGTTTCGGATGTAACCTACTTAGCTATGGAGCCAATGTTATTATTTTCTTATGGATATACCAAGGTAAAATTTATACCGAAAATCTCTACTTACGTTAAATATAGCTATCCCTTTCATTCGCTTTGAAAAAACAAAGACATTGTAGTCTTCAGTAGAAGTGGCACTGGCTGGAGAATCTCCCGATAAGACTATGACATATATAAAATGCAAGAAGTTCTTAATCTTAATTTAATATAACGTACAAGTTAAAACTACGTCTTATAGAATAATTTGAATAACTTAATAGTTAACTAAAACTCTTATCTAACTTGAATCTAACGTTTATATATTCACATAAAAATTCTAAAGGAATTTCAATAATAATTTTATTCCATTAAAATCTACAAATGATGAATAATACAAATTTGTTAAGCGATAACTTTATCATTTAACATTAAATTCGCGTGTTTCCATTTAAACTAAGTACACGTAAGCTTATTGTATGAGTACACTATAATTGTGAAAACCAAGTCAATTGCAAGTAATACTTACCGTAGGTTTCTGAAATCCCCGTTTGAAACATATTGCGATGTTTATACAGAGATTTTGGTCTCAGAAATCAACGGTTAGACGCCATGTTAAGAGTCATGTTCTTCAAAAACTGATTTGAGTCTGAACTGAACTAATATTGACGAGTGATGTGTCTTTTATTTCGCATCCGTCCCCAGAATGTCATGGGTTACGTTCGGATATATTTATTTAATAATTTAATTATGATTGTAGATGCAAGTTGCTACGTGTGTTATGGTGGGTGCGATAGCCGATCTTATTGCAAGATTTTCATTAGCAATATTTACGTATTTCTACACAGTCGACAGCCGTAAAATATTCTTCTGTGGGACATGCCTTACAATATTTCTACGAATAGGTGAGTTAGAATATAAGTAAACGAAACAATTTCGCACAAACAAATACCTGATGACATATTTATAACCTTTTCCAGGTCGGTACAGATTATAAACTCTTCCATACATCTCACTCAGCCGTCATATCTAAACTTGATTCCTTCTTATGCATATCTTCTTTCATACTTCTGTCCCCACTTTTTTCGGTCTTCTACTTCCGTAACCAATCAATGTTTTATAACATTCAAACTTATTACATTCTTATTTATGTCTCTACGCATAATTCGTATAAGTATATTATGTTCGTAGCTGCAAACTACGGTTTAATTGTAATTAGATCTTCTTAAATTAACCTAAAATACGTAAGTTGGTAGTAATGTCGTGCAAACTCTAACTGTGAATCTTTTTTTAAGTGATTTTCGTTTAAAAAGGACTTAATTAGACTTTCATAGTTAACCTTGAAATAATATGCTTGCACATTGTATGCTTCATTACGCCGATATACGTAATTTAAATAATTATGCCTTGATATCACATGAAATGAAAATGTTAAGATGGACGTCATAACAGTTAATCTGAATAAATTAACACTATCCTAAAACCATTTTAATATATGCCTAGTAATAAAAATTAATCTCCATTTAAGCCTTAAATTTTAACATATAAATTCATATATTATAAAATTCATAAAATCTGTTAAAACAACATATCAGATTTTATTGATATTCAAAACGTTACATTTAATCCGTTTAAGATTTAAAAGTAATAAATTATTTTTAATTTATTTTTATAGCGATAAACAGGTGCCTAAATTTATTTCTACCAGATCGTTAGTGGTACGATATCCTTAAATTATTCAACGCCTATTTGTTAGCGTTGAATTTGCACTGTCACATAAAACATCACACATTTTATTAAAAGACAATTCTAAGTAAGCTATATTTATCAGATTTATTAGCAAGTCTCAATTCTCACTCAGACTTTAAGATGACCCTCTGATTGATTGTTTGTAAGATTTCTCTTTCTCAAAGGCCCGCACGCATCTAAAGTTCGTCTAGTGTTTAGGATATCCATAGGCGTCGGTAATTACCATATCCCGTCTGTCCGTTTAGGTGGCGTTAACAATCGGACAAAAAACAATTTCCAAATGTTAAATAAAACCTGCAAACATAGGAAATGAAATAAAAGAAAAATATGACAGCTATATTAATATAATTGATATAATAAATTTGAAGGTATCTTCAGAACGGCTGAACAGATCTTGATGAAATTTGGCACAGACGTAGATCATAGTCTGAAAGAATACATAGGCTACTGATTAAGCTTTTCTTTATTAATTTTGCGCGGACGGAGCTAAGGATATAAATGTATGTTACTGATTCAAAAACCATATTACGAAGGTCGAAGTCAAATTTTGTTTTTTTTTTCAGCGTTGGTGTGTTCAAGTGAGATATGGTACGTGTTTACCATAACTGTAATATCGGGGCTGATCAGGTGCTCCGTGCAAGTGTTGTTCCCGCTGGTGTTGGTAACTGCAGCACCGGACAGGTTCCCCGCCGCATTGGCACTGCATATCATATTCTCTGGGTTCCTGATGCTTATTGCGGATCCATTAATTGGTAAGATAAAAAAACTCATACATCCACATTACATCCATTAATATTAAAAAGGTTTGATTGTTTGTCTGTTTGCTTTGAATAGGCTCCGTAACTACTGAACTAATTTGAAACATTCTTACATTGTTGGAAAGCTACATTATCCCCGAGTGACATTAACTATATTTATGACTAGATTTTTTCCTAATTCCCCACGAACGAAGTCGCGTGGAAAATATAGCTAATTGAGTAATATTTTAAGCGGTTTAAAAGGTTTTTTTCGTCTGTTTTTTTTTCTTGAATAATTTAACATGTTCTATTGTTTCTTATCATAGAAATGATTCGACAAATAATTTTTTTTTATTTGAAAAAATCCCGTCCTGTCGACTTAAATAGTTACAATCTTTCTCTTAATATGTTATAACAGTCGTTTTCTTATTTGAATCTATACTTAGCTAAAAGCATAGAAAATAAAATTCTTTTAAAACATCATTAACTATTTGTATATTTTTTTTTGCTTGGTTAAGCTTTAACCAAAAATCAGTCGCTGTTAAAGTGTAGCTAAAGGACAAGTAATTAAATAACTATGTGCATTTAAGTTATTAATAAATAAGTACGCATCGAGAAATTAATTAACAAGAGATATCAAATATGTAAACAAATAAAACACATTAAATCAATTTAATCATCGAGACATGTTATTCATCCTTTTATATACATTTATAGGCATATATCTCAGATAACTTTCCGTATGAAATTACCTACAGGTTAAGATAAATTGGTATTTTAAATACGTTTAATTTGTTCCAGGTCTGATATTTGAAGCTACGGGCACCTACCTCTACTGTTTCTTAGCAATGAGTGTTTGTTGTTTAATTTGCGTTGTACTATGGTCTATAGAATATATTGTGTATCGTAAAAAATCTAGTTGAATTGCAATAACATTATTGGTTAAATAATATTGATAATAATTTAAATTTTAAGTACAAATAATATTAGGAAATAAAAATATGTTTATTCAGCTTTTCCTAAAGTAATGCAAAACTTATTGAGGCCAGTAGATAATTTGCGTCATACATTAATTAGAATGTTTTTACATACGTGATGAATTTGCATTTAATGTTCCTAAAAATTGACATTATATGTAAGCACCAAACGTATAGTACAGATTAATACTTTTAATTAAGTAGGTAAAGTCCCACAAACTTAACATGAACACGTAAAAAATTATAGATATTGAAAGAATTAAACGGGACTTTAATATGTTTATTCAATTAACTATTTACTAATATGCATTAATTAAAAAAAAATGCGTAAAATTTTACCTATATTCAATAGAAATGAGAAATTATGACAAACTATCCATAAGTCCTCGAGTGGCGGCCGCGGACGGGTCGACCCAGCGTAGGTAGGCCTCCCGCACGATGGACCGATGCCCTGGTCAAGGTTGCGGGAGTGCACTGGATGCGGGCGGCACAGGACCGGGCATTGTGGCAATCGATGGGGGACCCTACGTCCAGCAGTGGACAAGCTTAGGTTGAATATGATGACAAACTATCAAACCATTTTATAAGGCTGTAATTATAGACTTCAGTTATCAATTTATACACCAAAAATCCATAGACAATAAATTACAATGCCATCCAATAAAATGTGTAAATGTAATTTTTTATTTTCATTGCATTCGACTTTATACATATTTACCTCGATAAACTGCCATGTAATATATAAAAAAATATTATTCTATATTATTTCTACGATAGTGTAGATTGAAAGTAATTATAAGAAACAAAACATTATCGGTCAACTATTATTATAATATATTGAACTAGCTGTCGCCCGTGACTCCGTCCGCGCGGGATTAAAAATAGATGTTGGCCGATTCTCACACCTACTCAATATGCTCACAAAATTTCATGAGAATTGGTCAAGCCGTTTCGGAGGAATATGGGAACGAATTGTGACACGAGAATTTTATATATAAGATTAATCGTTGGTTTCTGACACCAAAATCTGTCATTATCATATTTTATACGTAAATTTCATTCTCAGAAACTCACGATAACAAGATTATTATTAAGAAATCTAATACATATAACATGCATCAAACTCAGAAATATCATCGAACCGAATCATTTTTGTGAAAAATATTGAGGCTCAATTTCACACAATTACACTGTATTATAACATACAACTAATTTTAAAATAGACAATGAGATTCTAAGCTATTTAATATAATTTAAATATCGACATAATTAGCTTAGTTATAAGTCTAGATGCATTATACACTAAATATTAAAAATAAAATATATTATTTTTACAAGTTCCTGATGCAATATCATTGTGTCAATTATAATAAAATCTTATGTCTTTAACTTTATGTTATTATTATAAGTCAAAAGAATTTTGTTACCTCATTGACAAGTTTTTATAAAGATAAGTATATTAAGCCCTTATGTATACTGGGCTAGCATGTGACAATGCCTAAACTGTGGATTACCACTGTCCAAGATTGCATAAAAACATGTGGTCCTTCTGTCAATGTCATATGCCCCTGTCCTTACTTTTAGGCAATATTAGTTAAAATCATCTGGCGCGATTGGCGCGTTTTTATTACCAAGTCAAATGTCAGATCGATGTAGTGAGGGGTCGTAAGCGTTGATATTTAATATGTCTAGTGTTGCGCCGATATACCGTCACAGTCTCGGTTTTCTTCTTAACACTACGGTGGGTCGGCACATTATGTACTACTCTTCCATGCATCTCTATCAGCCGTCATATCTAAATTCACCCCCTTCTTTTCTTCGGTCTACCTTTGTAACCATCCATATTCAGTCTCTCAATTTCTTTACTGTGAAAAAAAATTAGATCACACGTGTTTTACATAAATGCAAATGTAGCATTGCAAATACTCTTTGTTTTATTGTTTTCGGTGTTAAACAACAAGCGCAATCAACAATCGTAAATATGCAAAGATTTAAAAGTTCGGAAATGCATTATGAATTTTATACACTGCTTAAAAATTAATTAAAAGATTGGATCAATAAACATGCAAATTATACGTTTTGCCAGTTTTATAATCAAATATATACATTTTTATGATGTTTATTGTAGTTTTATTTAACCTTGAGTCCGATTAATAAGCACTGAAAAGAAAAATAAACGCTTGAACGTCATCTTTTTACACTTTCCTTTTTTTTTAAATGAGGAAGTACCCAAAGCCGAAATACTAATTAATAATTTGCATAGTCAAAGAAACAAGTCGTAATAAAAGTAAAAAAGCCGTCAACGGAATTATATTTCTTTGAAGTTTGTTTATAATAACTAGTTCCGTTTATCGACTAATAAATTCAGAACCGGTTTAAAATGTACCAAAGCTAGTATGAAATTTATTTCCGCCCCGCTGTGTGTCTTTGGCTTCATAAGAGTTGTCGCCCTCGACTCCATCCGCGCGGAATTAAAAAACAAAATTAGCCTGTGTTCTTCCAAGGTATGTTCTACATCTATGCCAAATTTAAACGAGATCCATACAGCCGTTCTGGAGATTTTTTTTATATCATAAGGTGGCAAACGAGCGAGCGGCCACCTGTAATCGTTGAAATAGCGAAGTGACCGTTGCCCATAGACATACGCAGTTGCAGATGCGTTGCCTACCTTAAATCGACGGAGGAGAGGATGCACAGAAAGAAAATATCCCTTCCCATGCATCTTCTCATCCGGAAAGTCCACTTCCACTTCCCATCCTTTCCTTATAAGGAAAAGGGCGAAGAGGGAAAGTGGACTAAATTAGGCCTCCGGGACACACTCATCAGACGAAACGCGGAATTGCTTCCACTTCACGCCTGTCTTCTGTGTGGTCGTGGTATTTCACCGGGCGAGCCGGGCCGATTCATGCGAAGATGTTAAAGCGCGCTCTACCACTGTTAAATACATCAAACAAACATCCATCCAAACATTCGCATTTATATTTTAAGAAGTAATATGACGCAAAAAGGAAATCACAAAATAATCCAAACACATTCGGTAACCAATATCAATTTTAATTGATTGCAATACTTTTTTATATTAATTAATTAATTGTCTCGACTCGACTACAAATACAAAGGAAATATACAACAATACATCACAATAAATGTCAATACATTCGTATATTAAACATAAATATTGTCATAATTAATACAGATAATATTAAATTGTCACAAACAAAACTCACATAACGAAACGACAATGAACTTGTATGCACTTCAATCAAATATAACTAAGATATTAATAAAATTTACAACAGACAGACAGACTATTATTTTGTTGTGTTCGCAACAAAAGAGGAAGATAACTTTAAATTACTATTATTTTTTATAGTATTTCTACTAAAATATAGACGAAAATTTAAAAATGGACGCTACATATATCTATAGTCAATTTATTATTTTAATTTAAATTTCTTTCTTTAAGAAAATCCTATAATTTTGTTTGATATGTAAGCATAGATAATTTATATTTTATGGTCATCTACGGGAAATTCTGCATTTAATATTAGTAAGTACATATAATATATTGATTATAAAATATAATAAATTATATACAATTGGCACAAACATTTCGTTAATTGAATACTAGTCACAAGTCTACTACAGTCGGATCGATTATTTTACAATAATTTCAATAGTAAAAAACATTTTTTTTTTTCAAGTTTTGAAAATCATTAAAATAGTTCCATATACTGCGTTGTGCTAGAATAAAAGTGCATTTTTATCAAAAAGTATTTAGTATATTATTTGGTCAATAAAAATCACATATCGAAAAATGCGTTACATTACATTAAACAGTAATGAATTAAAAAAGATTTTGGAAGACGGAAATGCAATCGTTACAAGAATCAACAAAAAAAAAACGACAAACAGTGCTAAGAGTAACGAAAATATTTCATAGTATGAGCTTTACAACTGGTTTCTGAGACCAAAATATCTGTATAAAACATATCGTCGTCCTTGTCATTATGTACCCCATACGGATATGTTTTAAACGGGGATTTTAGTCTCAGAAACCCAGCGTTAGTTATTACGGAAGGAAGACATACAGGAAGAGAGTTAATACATAGAATATTTCATAAGAAACTAAGATTAATTAGTTTATTCCAAATCAAATGCAAAATGCAAACAAACATACACATATCACCAGAAAGTGAAAATTTCAGTTCTTTATTATTATTTTTTTGGAATTATTTCGAACTGTGTTGAAATTAATAAGTTGAAATTGAATTACAAATTTATGGTAGGAATGCGAAAAGGTACTTGTTTGTTTCCAAGCCGTTTTGATTTGTCATAAACAAAACTTTATAACAATCATAATTTCACTTCAACAAACAATAAAGACTTCAATTGATAAAAATTCTATATGATTTCAAAATAATAGGATATTTTATATTTTGCTTGCAGTACTTCAGCCATATTGATTTTAAGTACAACAATGTATTAAGTCACATTAAATTAAAAAAAAGGATTGTTTTCAATAAGTACACAATTTTTGACAGATCGGGTATTTCCCGGTGGGCCGATCGAACAATGGGAAAACTCTTTAAGTCGATCGAGTACATAGTATGAAGCGGTCAAATGAGATTTTCCCTTTCGGTCGATCGACCCAACGGCAAACACCCGTCAGATCGTCGACACAGACTTACAAGTCTTTTTAAGACGTATATCAATACGCTGGCCAATAAGCTTCGTTTTGAAGGTTAAATATGGGATGATTCGGAAACGAATTAGAATTAAGGTTCATTTTTAAGGTGACGAGAATTTTTCTTCAACTTTTAGATAGTCCAATCAAACTATTGTATCGTTACTACTACTTAAGTCGTCTATTCTGAAAATTTTAACTAAAATTACGAGTAGAAAATTAATATATGTTTGACCCAATATGTCATTATTCGAAGACCACTCAATTTGGTTATCGAATATGATTTTTTTTTATACGATAAGGGTGCGAGAACACTTAGGACATGGACATCCGCAACACTAGAGGAACTGCAGATGCTTTGCCTTTAAGGAAATTGCTTGCTCGCTACTAAAAGGACCCTAAGTAACAATTAAGTTATAAATAACAAATATTTATAACAATAACTGTATGAATATATGCAACACTAAACTACCAATAATAAGTCTTCAAATTTACCTTAAATCCAGTTCAGTTTACTACGGGCCTAAATGTGCCTGTCTAAATACACAGATATAGTTTTAAACTAGAAAGAGCTGTATAAAAATATTTTTTTCACAAGTAAATTACCAAAAATTCATACAATTTTTTTAGAGAAATATTCTATAGTATTTGGAAGAAAGAACTTACGTCACCCTCATAAAGATTTGAACGAACTAAATCTTTCTATCGCGGAAACACATTTGTAAAAACATATCGTCAACTAATTGTTTCAAATAAAATGGGATGGTAATATTTTTTTTACAAGATATTTTTGTATTTTTTATCCAAGCGTTTGGACAATGAAACATATAAAGTATATAATGTAACATCATCTATGTAACACGGATATCACTGGATTTGTCATGTAATATAAAACTACGAGACGTAAACAAATAGAGCATAAATTGTTGTAACAAATAGCTGCAAATAACACTGGAATATTACAAAAAAAAACATAATTTTTCAATCCAATAGCCTTACTAGAATATTTTTTTCCAGAAAATCTCAAAATAAAATAAACATGTTATTACAAAATTTCCATCGATATATACGAGCACCATTTTTTTTACCATTCCATCAAAGAATCCTATTCACTAGGTTGTTATCACACACCATACCAGACTAAGGCCATCACTAAACGTATAATCAGC